TACCGTTTTTGGGTTCATGCTCATTACTAGTGTTAAGATTCAAAAATTGTTCAGGAACAAATACAGACATAGGAGCTAAAGGAGCTTCCTCTTCTATCCTAGTCTCCCCCTAAAGAGGAGCTGGGGAGAAATAAGGCTTCGACTCTCTAAAGGTCACATCCATACTCACAAAGTATTTTCAGTTTGGAGAATGATAACACTTATAACCCTTTTGAGTGGTAGAATACCAACAAATACACATTTCAAAGCTCGAGGTTCTAACTTGCCTCCATGCCTAGAATACCAAACAAAATAACACATTCACAGCTCGAGGTTTCTAAACTTGCCTCCATGCCTATGAAAAACAAAACTACACAACTAAATACTTTTGGAAGGCAATTATATGATGTCTTACAGGTCACATCCATACTCACAAAGTATTTTCAGTTTGGAGAATGATAACACTTATAACCCTTTTGAGTGGTAGAATACCAACAAATACACATTTCAAAGCTCGAGGTTCTAACTTGCCTCCATGCCTATGATAAACAAAACATACACAACTAAATACTTTTGGAGGAACAATATATGATGTCTTACCCTATAAAGCTGCTATAGGGCTTTTAAAATTGAGTGTCTTAAGAGGCATTCTATTAATGAGATAAATTACAAAAAGCACTGCATCTCCCCAATAAGTCTTGGGAACATTCATGGTGAATAAAAGTGATCTAGCTACCTTTAGTAAATGCCTATTTTTTCTTTCAGACGCCCCATTTTGTGCACTAGTATTCACAGACCAAGTTTGATGTATGATCCCATTTGAGTCTAAATATGCATGAAACATACTATTCATATATTCTGTTCCATTATAAGTTCTCAAAATTTTAAGCTTTGCATCAAATTGGGTACTAATCATGTTATGAAAAGATTTAAAGCAAGAAAACATTTCACTTTTTGCTCTCAGCAAGTAAACCCAAGTTAATCTAGTACAACAATCAATGAATGAAACAAACCCTTTATAACCAGATAAGGAAACAGTAGAAGTAGGACCCATACATCTGAATGAATAATCACGAAAGGGACAGGACTTTTATTATTATGGAAATATAAGAATTCCTTGAATGTTTAGCAAGTTCACAGACATCACATTTTAAAGACTCTAACTGACAATGTTCAGAAAGACCAAGATATGATTTCCTTAGAACTGAAAAAGAAGGATATCCCAATCGCCTATTCCATATAATTATTTCTCGACTAGCATTACCATGATCTCCTAACAGTGCTCGAGGAATACTATGAGCCAAAGGATTCCAATTTTTTTCGAGAAGGTACAAGCCATCATGCAGTCTACCAAAGCCAATCGTGTTCCTTGTTTTCAGATCCTGCAACACACAATGAATAGGAAAAAACTCAACTTTGCAATTGAGAGCTTTTGTAACGACACTAGCAGATAAAAGGTTTACACGAAAACTAGGGATATAAAGGACATAAGCTAAATCAATGGTGGATGTGCACTTAATAGAACCTATGTCAGAAATAGGTGCCAAAGAACCATCAGCAATGCAAACAGTTTATTTGCCAGTACAAGATGAATAGGTTAAAAATTTATGAAAAGAGCCTATCATATGTTTGTTTGCTCCTGAAGCTATAACCCATGAATCATCAACAGAATTAGTAAGAAGGGCCATACCAGATTGCACGAAATTGGAAGTAGCTGCGGAGGATGAAGAGTGAAGTTTTGACAAAAAAAAACGTCATAATAATTGTACCTCTTCAATAGAAAAATTCCAGCATAAGATGCTTCAGATAGGTGTGCAACAAGTCTAGTTGAACCGATCCTTTTACAACCACGACCCATGCTTTTACTCCCACAACCCCTAATCGGATGTCTAGGTAATTTACAACATGTTTCCATGATTTTAAAACAATCACCCATGATTTATCGACAGCAGACAATTACTAGGATAAGAAAACACAACAGTGCAGGGGCAGGGTTTCAAATAACAGTACCAAATACAGTAATGCAAAAAACGTAGCGACAGATGAAAAAACCCAGAGAACAGTAGCAAAAAACATTACCGGAATAGCTGAAGTGACGAAAACGGCCACTAATTAGGTTGTACTGGACATGAGCGAAGTCGCCGGAAGTGAACAAACCTGCCGGAGTAGGTCCCGCGGAGAGAGGATGCCGGAAGTTGGCTTCACGCACTGGCACATGGTGGAGGCGCCAAAATTCAATCAGCGTGTGAGCTCATGCGCTTCGTCCAACGATCACCGGCTTTTTGGGGTCTGGGTCGCCGAATGCTGGGCTTTCTTCTAGGGGCGGCAGTGTACTTCAACTCCACCCAGAAATCTACTACCCTATACAATTTCCAATCTGGTTCCGTTTTGGTTCAAAAAAGGCCAAACAAGTTTGGTTTTGGCTCTAATACCATGTTGATTTTAAGAACGGGTTTGGGAAAACTTTGTTATATATTTCTTGTGTTTCAATGAGACCTTATACAACCTATTTATACACAAGTATCAAAGTCTAAAATAGGAAAAGAATAAATAGGGAAAGAGCAATATATACTCCTAAATAGCCTATACAAGGATACTCCAAATCAACTAAGTCAACAAAAAGTATAACTATTGGAATTTTATTCAATAATGTACCTGAATTAGCTTTGAAGCTGTCGCAAAAGATATTCAAGTCTCTTGACATTAGTGTGGATTTAACTATGAACAGAGCAGAATGAAGACAAAGGATTCATATAAATGACCCCAACTAATTTGGGTTTAAGCCTTGAGGCTAGTTGATGCTGTTGTAATGAAGCTGAATTAAGAGCATTAGAGTCACAGGTATTAATAGACTCAAACTAATCCTTAAGGTTTACATTGGACTTTAGGGAGTGCGTGGCCCCAAAGCTTGTGCTTATGAGCACAAACCCAGAAAACAAAAAACGCAGCTTACTAAACAAGCTGCTCTATTTTTATAAGGGGTGGGGGATTGGGGGAGTTTGTGCATATGAACACCTATTTGGAGCTAAATGGGTGTTAAGTTACCCCCTACTCTTTTAAGAAAAGGATTTAAAAACTAGTCTTCATCCTAAAATAACTAAAGTATCCTAAAGCAACAAGGACTCATGAATAAAAATGAAGACTCCTAAAGACATCTTGTCATCTTTTCCATCAAAACTAAAATTCACAAGATCATCCTTGCCTTCAGAAAAATTAAATTGTGATAATTTCCAGCTTCACAAATATTTAAAGAAGACTGCCAAAGCCTTAATAAAGTTCCATCAAAGCTTCTCATCATCAAACATGTGCCAAATAGGCCCTATTTGACATCCAAACCATAACTCTAGATTTCTTGAGTTATATTACTGCGTCAGGTATAAAACAAAAGATAATAACATACCTGTATATGTTGATCATATTTTTGGTTGGACAAGATATCTAAGTGAAATACCATGTTACCAGAGTTTTGTAAATAGCTTAGGTAACAATGACAAGTATAAGGATAACCCTAAATTGGCACTTTCATTTTAGCAACTTGTACTTGCAACTACATCTTTATACCATGAGGTTTTTATCACATCGGCATGCGTCTTATTCATTATTAAAGATATCATACAAAAATAAGCAGAAACTGGTCTTTGGAGGGGGGAAAAGAGAAAAGTTACAGAAAAGCACCTCTTAGTTCCATGCTTTTTCACTTTAGGATTTGAGAAATTGTTTTCAACAAAACAGGATATATGTTCTTTTATTGATCACTAAGAATCTGTCACCTTAACACCGTAGTCCAAACTCATGTCTCGCTGAACTAATGGCCGTGGCAATTAAGGGTTTGACATACCAGCGATAGATTAATACAAACTAATGGCATTAAGGCACTAAATCCTTAACTGCACCATAGTGAAAAATGGACCCCCTTTTGTCAAAAAAATTTCACAAACCCTAAATTGAAAAAGCATGAAAACACATGGTCCTTTTTCATACCCCTACCCACCCACCCCCCAACCCGCCCAACAACATACACAAAAAAAAAAAAAAAAAAAAAAAAATTTCAATACCCTACCCACCCACGCCCCCAACCCGCCCAACAACATACCACAAGAAAAAAAAAAAAAAAAAAAAAAAAAAAGGAACGTTGTTGGAAGCGTTTTTGAACTTGTTTCTCTATTTTGGAGTTTCATCCTAAACATGTCAAATCTATCTTCAAAAACATCTGTAATTGCTTTTGTTAAGGAATGGAAGGTCAAGATTATTTTCTTCAATGGTTACACTTTTTTTCAATAAAAAAAAAAAAAAAAAAAAAAAAAGGAAACGTTGTTGGAAGCAGTTTGAACTTGTTTCTCTATTTTGGAGTTTCCATCTAAACATGTCAAATCTATCTTCAAAAACATCTGTAATTGCTTTTGATTAAGGAATGGAGGTCAGATATTTTCCTTCATGTTACACATTTTTTTCAATTCTATCCTATTATTTAATTTTATCAATTTAATATGTGTGACTTGGTTGCAATCATATCCAAAGGGCATATTTAGTCATATACTAATGTAGCATTGAAATCAAAGGAAATATGGACATAACTTGTGGTTTCGAAGAAGTGGAACTCAATTGAAGACCACCAAATGGAGGCATTTTGTCCTCATCATGAAGCTATTTAAATGTATTTCATATTATGCAAAATGTCACTGTTTGTAGCTCTTGAGGTTCAGGAGCAAGGCCAGCTCTTGTGAAATAACAAATTACGTCCATATTTGCCTTCAATTTCATTACTGCATTAGTGCAAGCACATGCCTCATACCCCTTGGATACAATTGAATTCAATTTGCGAATATCTGTTATTTTGACAAAATTGATAGGATAGACTTAAAAAAGTTTTAAAGTTTAGGACTTACAAGATCATTAGATCTTTGTTTAAAATATCCAAGATCATACTAGAACTTCAGGTCAACAGTAAAACAACAAAATGTTGACTCCATAAATACAATAGTAAATCAGTCATTTAAATTTGATAAGAGATAACATCTTACCCCATAAACATACAAGCAAATTGATGGCTTGTCTTGCAAAGAATTCTCTACCATGTTCAGATGAGACTCAGAAGTCAACTCATTACTAGCAATCCTTTCATCTGCCATTTGAAGATCTTCAAACAGAATCTCATCTTGCTTCTCAAAAGATGTGTCAACAAGATATTCCATTTGTACAGTTTCCCTGAATCCCTGAGAATTCATCTTGCGAACTTCAACCTTTGGTGAACGACCTTTAACAAAAAGAGTATCAGCAAACAGAACTTAATTGATATCTAGGCTAAAACAATATCTTGTAGTGCTAAAACATGAAATACAATGAATTATTTTACTAAGGTAAAGACACCTGAGAGAATGGCATCCACCGTTGACTCTAGGCTACGATGAACTCGCAACTCAGTTTTTGAAATTATCTCCACTGCACAACTAAATGTTGAAGGTCCCTTCCTCTCCAGCACTGTCTTCTGAACTCCTCTCCTGTTTGCTTCTTCATCCCCTAGTGTAACACTCTAAAAGATAATCGTAATGCATAAATGAAAATTTGATTTGAAAATGATTGCTTTCATAATATGACTGCAAAATAATGAAATTATGCGAAGTCATGGCATTGATAATTTAGAACAATAAATTGTACACTTCTAATTCAATAATTTCAGTTCCATGGAAATTTAGCATAAGTTGAACAAATTGGTAAAATTTCTATACAATTTCACAAATCTAAGGCAGCCAATTTTTCTGGACAAATTTACTTACAGCATCTCAGGTTTCTACAGCAACAATGCCTTGACAGAGATCACTGGGTCAACTCCAGCAAGGTAATGGAAGTTCACAAGGGCAACCATATCCAAGCGTGGTGAAGGTCATAGAAACTATATTTGCTAATGAGGAAGTGGTTTGAGGTGAGAACAGGCTTTGGATGCTAGTATTTGACATTTATTTTGTCAAGATAGCCAGTTTTGGATGCATGAAGAAGTTTCCAGACTCTCAAAACTACTTTGCGTTTTTCGGATGCCCAAAAGTTGCAATTTTGCTCCAAAGATTAGACAGAAAATCATTTTATAATAAGGGTATTTTAGAAACTAAGGATTCTGAATTCCATACTCATATTAACTCAAACATGAAATTTATTTGCAACTGATACTTCATATAAATAATGTAAGGTGAAGAAAAGTGCAGGACAGAAATGTGACAGAATGGGATGGGTATGCTTTCAGAACTGCTATAATGTTATAAATAAAATCACTTCACCTGTATTCCTCCAACTAGCATTTCTAGAGAAGGATTCACAATCAAATTTTCTATCGTAACTCCATGAGCAGTGGCAACAAGCTGAATCCCACGTTGTGCGATTGTACTTGCGGCCATTGCTTCAAGTTTTGTGCCAATTTCATCTATCACTATCACTTGAGGCATATGATTTTCAACTGCTTCTATTAAAACCTGAATATAGAAAACTTTAAGCATGAGCAATACATATAAATTGTTGACTAATAGATCAGAAAATAGCACATAGGAGTTCCTATTTCAGCAACAAGGGAAAAGAGAAGAGAGGAAAAGAAGAGCATAATATAAAGATATTGCAAGCGATTGTACAAATATCTCCAAAATTATAGCACATAGGATCATGATAATGTTAATTATAAATAGAGCCTTCAATTATTTGTATATTTAGTGCGTCACTCATCTAGAACGTACCGAACAAGAATAGTTTTGCTTCAGAAATTAGCAACAAAGTCTTAATTAGTCACGCTAATCAAACCTCATCTCATGAGCATAATCGAAATTACCAAACATTAGCAAAGAGAACAAGTGAAATTATATACTTCCAGCTGATACCTTATGTTGCATATCTGAATTGGGTACTTGCATCCGACGGGCATTACCAATGCCTGCATGAGGGATATCACCATCCCCACCTATCTCATTGGAAGTGTCAACAATCATTACTCGTTTCTTGTAATCATTTGCAAGCATTCGAGCCATTTCCCTGCAAATCTTACAATTTTAGACCACCCTGAAGGTGGACAGATAAGCAAAGTAAAAGACGAGAACCATGCTTTTTAAAAAATGGTTCAGATGGAAAAGAACTCAACACTTGAGCCCCCTGAATTGGACTGGCTTTGGGTCTATGTCATAGTTGGAGTTATCTTCTTTTACATGGGGGATTATATGCCCTTAGAAATAGAAAACTACAAAATAAAAATAAAAAAAATTTCTATGCTGGTATATCAATGGAAAGGTGAAGTCAAAAGAAACGGCCAAAAGCATAAAATCACCCTTGTACTTGACATGAAAAATGTTGTGGCACCCTGTATTTTTTTTTTCGACTAACCCATTGTACACCTGAACTTGACAAGTTTGGAATGTAGCAATTGAAATGGCACGCACTAATGAAGAGAGTAACTATGGTTTTCATCATCCAACATGGCAATGATACTGCCTATACCAAAAGGACTTTTTCCTCTCTGTAAATTCCATACAAGTTTTGAAAGCCATAAATTTCATACAAGTTTTGAAGCCATAATAGAATAACAGGATAAAAGCAGTTCTTTTAAACCACACAAAGTGTATGCCTAACGGTATATGAAACACTGACAACCTAAAGTTATTGCTCTGATCTTTCATTGGGCACCAATTCAATGTATAAAGAAATATACAACAAATTTTAGAAGGTACATGAAAGTATATCATTTGTGACAAATTGTAATGTCTAACCTGATAATTGTAGTTTTTCCCACCCCTGGAGGCCCAATAAGCAAAATAGAAGCTCCATCCTGAACCAAATCTCTCAGTAAACCAGCACTGCCTTGTATTGCCCGCCCAACGCGACAAGTTAAACCAATAATATGACCCTTCCGGTTTCTAATGGCACTGATACGGTGCAATGTCCTACTGATGCCAGCTCGATTGTCAATGGCAAAGTCACCAACCTGCAGTATGCCATTCTAGTAAGCATAACACTTTTTTTTTTACCATTAACCGGAAACTTCAGTTGATATGGTTGGCAAAGAAAAGGTGAAGAGCTCAACTAAAACCATAAAATTCAATCATATGAATATAGGAAATTGGAAAAAGTGTATTCTAAACTCCTATAGTTGTTTACCAAAAAAGCATTAGATTTAGATTGGTGTTATTTCTAGAGCAGAAAGAGCAAACGCCAAAGCAAAGTTTCTTATTTGGATAAAATTTCCCTTTACTCATCTCATTTCCTCTTGTTTTTTCATGGTTACAGAACTCCATATCTCCTAAAGCCAAAATCTACACTCTTCTTTTTGTATTTCTTAATTCACTTAACAATGAAACTCACAACATTAGGAATCAAATAATCAATATACATGAGATGATTTTGACATAAGTAAATATTTCCAAAACAACGCCAGCAAACTTACAGTTGACATTCATATCAAATTTGAGCAGTGAATTGAGAAAATGGAGGATTTGTGAGGATGATTGATGAAAATTGTTTTATTATCATTATTCTGCATCAAATTAATTTCTCAGATTTCCATTTCAAATCTCCTTTTCAAATAAAAATGTCTAGATGAGTCAAGAGAGGCAAGAGATTTGGAAAGAGCAAGCTGAAATTGAAAATCATTATTCTGACTCTATATTTAGCAAGGGAATTATTGTTGATGGGCTATAGTAAGTAACATAATGTAACTAGTAACAAGTATTCTGTTTTCATTTTGCTGAAACTTCAATAGAACATATTTGAACATTTCTGCGTTCTTTAAAACTAAAGGATATTCTCATAGCTTTAGTTTGCTCTATAAGTACATAAAACTAACATCTATTGAATCAAAATCAAACAAAAGTGATTACCTTCGTATAAGATTGAACTATTTATATAATTATCATCTTTGATTATATCACAAAAAAAAAAAAAAAAAAAAAAAAAAAAAAAAAAAAAAATAATAAAGAATTGAACTATTTAATATAATTATCATCTTTGATTATTCAACAAAAAAAAAAAAAAAAGAAAAAAAAAAAAAAAAAAAAAAGAAAAAACTAAAGGAGGTCAAAAAAAAAAAAAAAAAAAAAAAAAAAAAAAAAAAAGAAAAAACTAAAGGAGTCAGAAAACTGAAATCAGGAGTGATGAAGGAAGGCAATGTGAATAAAAAAGCGCAATTTTGTCCAAATAATAAACTTTACTCTAGTATTAGCACTATCTGCCCTGAAAATAATATCACCCAACAAGTTAGTACAAAAACAACGTTACGCAAGTTCAAAACTCTGTATCCAAAAAAATATTTACAGTGATGCTATTTTCAAGTAGAACATTAAAAAGAAAAACAGGGAGAGAAAAAGTTATTTTTTGCATGAAATTTGTAAGTCCTATTGAATTCAATATTTCCCCTAAAGTACAAAAAGTTACATGTTAAGGTAACCAGATTAAACTTGTGAATTACAAATTACTATTATTATTATCATTAATATGTATCACTATTACTATTATTATTATTTTATCATCATCATCATCATTATCAGTCACTTACTCTCATCATTTTATTACTATCAACTAACTTCATATTGCTTATAAGCATAATTTAACAATGTTCGATTACAATCTAAGTAGCAAAGTTTGTAATAAAGTCTTGAAAAGAGTGCAGACAGGTGATTTGTCCAGAAAGAGCCAATTTTAAAATTGGTAATAGGTGAGGGTGCTAGGCTGAACAACAGACCTAGTAATCACTAAATACCAAGAGCCAATAAACCTAGGAGATACCAAGGCATTTTCTATGCTCCACAAATAAGGTGCACGCCCTCCTCATTCAATGGATTAAAGATGCAAGTATCGAACTACTTGTAAAGGGATTGCTGCCTACTAACCAAGATAAATCTAATACCAAATATTGTCACTATCAAAAGATGCTACCTCTTCAAGCATCCATATCCTATAAACAAGCTTATAAGTTATAATTCTCCAAAGGTTGATGTGGATTCCTAAGTAGGAGTCATGATCTTATCCATCCCTCTTCAATGGGAGGAAACACAAATTGGAGATAATAGGAAGGGGAAAAGGCTAAAAAGAAAGCAAAGGATGGGACATGCTTTAAATTGTTCCAATAAGCAAACTAGAACCTCCAATAATTGATATTAACGACAATATCTGAGTCTTTAAACCCAAAAGATGAATGTATATTGTAAAAATGGATTATTAGAATGCTAAAACAATTATAACATATTCTGAAACCCGAAATGTAAGAACATATATCATAGTAATGAGTAATAAAAATTTTGTTATCCCTCTTAGCAAAGGTAAGAGAGAAAAATCATGTACACCCTTCTAATGGCATAAGAAAGAAAATTAAAAACTATATACGGGACTTCATCCATGGTGGTACAACAAAAAAAAAAAATTATTGTTTTGCATAATTCTAGGAAGCCAAGGTAAATCCAATAGAAAATCGAAACAGCATATGACTCTATCAATGAGACTAGGTCTTCAAAAGAATTATTAAACATATAACTTCACCTTTATCTTGCAATTTGTGAATTCAACATGATACCAAGAGTTCTGAAGCCCATATGATCAAATGGTTTACCACTGATCTCCCATGCTATACTTCTCATGTTAGGCTTCAAGGTTATATACTCACTTAAATCCAATAAAGAAACACAACAGAAAAATTGTTAACCAAGTTGGTATGCAATAGAATCTTTCAAGTCTCAAACTAAACAATAGGGAATTCTTAGGGTAGTCCTACTCCTACTATTTTATATAAAATTATATGCTCTCAGATCTCACAATTTTAACCCGTAATTACAATTTCACATTTATCATTACATTAACGCCATGTTCGGTTGGCTCTAGAATTATGACCAAATGAAGTTCTTAGAGTAGGTTTCTATTTTTTAGTTGGATTAACAATCAATCCAAAATTTCTTCGATAATTTTATGTTTCAATAATTTAAATGTATATTAAAACGAAATCAGTTTTTAAGCATAGTTCTTAATACACAAAAAACAAATTCTATTTAGTTATTAAAAAAATAAACTGGGAATACTATTCCTTAATTTAGACGTTCATTTCTATTCTCATTCAGTTTCCAAAGTGAACCAAACATGTTCGAAATAGCCTTTTGTAATGGGAAAAATTAGCACCAAAATAAAGCTTAAAATCTAAGAGTGAGCAAGAACGAAAACTAACTTGAGAAGTTGCCTGCTCAAGATCCTGAAACGTAATAGGACAATCCGATAGAACAAAATCCCCAGATGGAAACCTCGCGAGTGGCCTGCGACCCACATCCATAACAACCTCAACCAAGTCATGGAGCTCTGGATGCTCGCTTAATCTTCTTCTCATCTCCTCGGGCAACAGCCCCAAAAGACGGCCCAATTCGACAGCGAAAGCATCCTCAGGGGACGGAGAAGCTGATGAATTCGAAAATGAGAAATACCCACGAAGTTTTTTGCGGACAACTTGGTTAAGAGATGGTTTTGAAGAGAAATAAAGGGATTTTAATACAGATTTTGAGAGTGCAGGTTGGTGTGGGAAGTGGGTTAAGAAAGGTATATGTGGAAGCTGAAGCAGAGAAAAACAGAGCATTTGATTTTGGCGGGAAAATAGTGTTTGTGTCTGTAAGTAGGATTAGGTTTCTGTACTTTTGTGGATGCTAAATTGCTAACTAATGCTATGAGTAGGAGAAAGGGATTCCAGCCACATTTATATGAGGCTTTCTACAAATAAGTTCTGAAAAATTGAAAATAAATAAATTATGACAAGAAGAAAACAAAAATGCTTGGCTTCGGACTTGCGTAGCAAATTGTTTTTATTTTTCTGTTTTTGTTATGCTGATAGAATGGAACATCAAACTTGATGTAAAAAATCAAAATAAACCTCAATTTGCCCTAAACTTACGAACAAAATTACGTTTTTTTTTTTTTTTTTTTTTTGCCTAAACTTACGAACAAATTACGTTTTTTTTTTTTTTTTTTTTTTTTTTTTTTTTTTTTTAACGATTTACTCTTGGAATTTATACCAAAGAATTTAAAGTTCAACTTTTTTACTTGGAGAGAAAATAAATACCTGTCTATCTATATATATAATCCTGAAGTATAAAATCTTTTGTAAATGCAGATTTGGCATTTTTTTTTTTTTTTTCAGAATTCTTCTTTTTCTTTTTTTATAAATTTTTTAAACTTTTAATTCATTTTTAGCAAAAAAATATAATTCTTTGTCTATTAAAAATAATATAATTTACATTATTGTAACTAATAATTTATTTGAAAGAAATCAAATTCTAAACCTCTTCAACTAATCCAATACCTTTATCTAAATATCATCTAAAAATCTAAAAATATTTTCTATTTTTTATAAATTTGTAAGTTGTAGCTGAACACTATTTATATAACTCTATTGTTTTCTATCTTTTAAAATCTAAAACCACTCAGTCTGGTTCAATGAGTATTTTTATTTTTTAGTTTCATTTGTTTTTTTTATCTCGATATATTTATATTTATTTATATTCATATTAAATTTTGCTATTTTTGTTTTTCAGATTATGAACTACAAAATAATTTTTTATTCGTCAAAGGTAACATTAGCTCTTTCATATATTTTTTCTTTTTTTTTTAATTGCATTTGGACTATAAAGATTTAACTTTTTTTTACTACATAATTCATTTCCTTCTTCTTTCATTTCTTCAATTATAATTCTCTCTGTAACACCCATCGCCCAGTCCCGAGAGACTCAACAGCGGATGCCACATTCGGTGCTGGAGACACCATCTTAACTTAACATATAAATCATAAAATCATATTATGAATTAGAAGTAATTGAGTATTCTGAGTATTCACAAGTTTAGCTGGTAATTTTTTTTATAATAGTAATTTCATTTCATATTTATCTTTTTTTTATATATAAATTGGGAAAAATCCTACATAAATACTGTAAGAATATCCCTTTAAAAATTGAGCTTGCCAAACACGTGACTACAAAATAATCTCAATTAAACTCCAAAATTTCAACATCTCCAAATAATCATCATAACACAATAACACTTTTATATTTTCATAATTGTATAAATCCTCAATAGCATTTAATATCCATCAATTAATTGCGCATTTAATATCCATCAATTAATTGCATTTATTATATATATCAAGTCTTAATGAACTCATCATACCAACTATCTTAAAATAATTTATATTCAATCATTTAATAAATATTATGATTATCTCCAAATATACACACCAAAATAATTGATAATTACATACTTAAGTTATAATTCAAATAACATAATCTCCAAAAATGTAATAATTATACATGTCATAATTCTTAATTACATAAATCTTAATATACTGCTACCAAAATAGTCACTTCTGCTTTGATACTATTCTTTTGATCTTCAAGTAGCAACCACAATCTTCAACCTACGCGTGATAAAAATCGACGTGCTGAGTATAAAACTCAGTAGTGCTCATAATTCACATACTTACATTCACATACTTACTAAAGTTGCGATGGCAACTTACTTTAAACATAAATTTCATAAATCATTTACAGTTATAAAATCATTAAATTTCACATGCATTTACATTTATAGCAAAAGAAATATCAAATAAACTATAATTAATAACATAAATAATTTAGTTCTTTTTATCATAAATCCTTTACTTAAACATTTAATCATCATAAATACTTTAGTTCTTTACTTAGAGATATCAAATAAACTTATAATTAATAACATAAATAATTAATTCTTTCAAATCATAAATAATTAATAACGTATACTATCTATTTTTAAAACCATGTACCGAAATATGATGTTTTGAAAATTCATTTGATAACATAATCATTAATTTCCAAAGTAAGGTTTACTAAAATAATATGATCTCATTTGTTTAATTGTCTTAAAATATTTTCCAAGAGGCTCGCATATACTTAGGAGAAAGAGAAGCAGATAGGTTTTCATAGTGGCCTTAGGTCGCTAACCTTTTCATAATGGCCTTAGGTCGCCATCTTATTCATTACATATAGAGCGCGTTCGCCCTAACATAAGACACCCACGTGCCTAGCATATGATCATAGCTTTTTATCATAATGGCATCAAATGCCGAGCATGATCAACTGCCGAGCATGCTCATTTCATACATAATAAAATCAAATCACGCATCAAAATTCCACACTAAGTATATTAGATATATTAGAGCCCAAAATCTTTATTTTAATTCTTAATTCATAACACTTCTCATAAAACTTGTCTTATTCTTTAGTCTTCTTAAATTCATAATGTAAGCTTACTTTATAACGTAATTCATGAAAATTCATACTTAAGCATAATTACTTAACATAGAAAATTTCTTATCATATGAAATCATACATGTAAGCTTACTTTAGAGCTTAAGTGACTTATTTCTTATCATATAAAATCATACTTTCGTTATTCAAAATTCAAAGCACATACATCTTAAATACCCATTTTTTTTAAACTCTGAACATATAAAAGTTATCAAAATAATCATACTTATGTCATATATATATATAGCATAATATAATAAAAAAAAAATTAAGTAAGCCTTACTATCCTAAGTTGGTTCGACCTCTTAATGAAAACCAAGGGGAGGAATTTTCTTCTCCAATCAAGCATGCTAATATAACTCTTATACACCAAAATATCCATTTCAACCCTCATCATGCATTATCTAAACCAATTCCATACTTTTTCCTGAAATTTCCAACAATTTTTCCCATTTATATTCATTTAAACATGTCCACAACAACACTTTTCAAACTTGTCTTATTTTTGTCAAATAAATCCTAAAACATACAAATAATCAAGAGAACTTCATGACACATGATTCATACATACCTTTATCCAAATAAACCTATGATTTAAGACATAGACCTATGATTTAAGACATAGAAAATTTCTAGCATTAAAATAACCTTGACCTTTTTCTGCGTTTTTAAGACATAACTTGAGTTTTAGGACTCCAAATTGAGTGAAGTTTGATTCATTAGAAAGATAAGACAAAATGCTACAAATGGTATGAAGGGACCACAGCCCAGATCAATCTGTAAGGTAGCAAACAAAAGCTAAGAACATAGACCAACAGTCTAGACATGATTCAGCAGAACCAAGAACCAAATCCAATGTTTATTAAATTCCTACTTATCCAAACACTCAAATTAAACCAATCCAAAACCAGGGAAGTCTCAAGACACAAGGCAACAACTCTCATGAATAACTCAGAACATAATCTTTTCATTATAGCGGTCAAAATGGGCACTCAATTGGCCCGGCATAACAGAGTTAGTTTGGGTTTTTCAGCCATAATTTGAGCTATATTTATCCAAATTGGACAGATGAGGATGGGTTGGAAAGCTAAGAAGTAGACCTAAAACTTCATGAAGAGTTCAGAAATAAATGGAAAATAAAAAGGATCGAAAAATAGTCCTTAAGCTCACCCAATAACACATTTTCCCCAAATTCAGCTTGCTTTAACCATGAAAGAACATGAAAGACACCCCAACTAACAACTTTTTTCTCATTTCACGACTTACTTCAACTCATATATACAAGGTAAAAGATTTCTCCAACATACTAAATACTTCATGACAAATATCATGCTTACAGAGCATAAATTCAACAAAGAATAAACAAAAAATTAAGGCTTATTCACATAGATTACTGCCGACTTTTGGAGATGAAATGGAAGGATAAAATGGTTTCCCTCAGGTCAGTCGAACATATTAGGTAGCATGCTTTAGAAAATCTCCCAATACGACAGTTTTATCACCACAAGTTCATAATTAAACTTCAATTTCATCATATAAAATTTTCAATTTTTCACAAAATAGTATAAACTTCACAAAATAAAAAAATTTGTTAACAAAGTAATTGTTGTTTATGAACATAAACCTTAAAAACAAAAGCTTAGCACAGCTTAGAATTAGAAGCTTTCTAAGCTCCCAGAAACTATGCCTTACTCCCTTTGGGTAAGTTTAAGGTTTTCCTCACACTTTGGCTCAATAGAAACATCTCCAAATTTCTTGAAAAATAATGCACCACAAGCTCACTTTTCAAGCTTTAATATCTAGGATTTATTCCTTGATCGAAGGTTGTAAATGAGGTTTGAATTTGATGGATTTTAAGTTAAGTAATGGGAAGTTGAAAAAAACAAGGAGAAGAAGAAGGAGATAACAACGCCAAAAGAGAAGAAGGAAAAAGAGAAAATGGTTACTCATTATTGAGGGCAACAAGGGTATTTAAGTTCTTATCTCTTCAGAAATTGGATTTGGCTAAGATATAAGTCAATGGTTAATCCTAATCCAATAGCTAAAAATATTCCTCCAATTATTTAATTGTCCATTCGAAAATATGTTTTATCTCCAGCAAATTTTAGTCTCTCCATTTTTGAATCCTGTAAATATGTATTTCCTCTAATTCCTTATTAATATATACACCATCTGCTAAATTGTACTCCATAAAAATATTGCGTCTCTAATTTACTTAATTATATTATAACACCATAATTACCTATTCACATAATTATCTAAATTCTCCAAAAAATATGTCATTACTTTTTTCTACTCTAGAAAATGCATGTATGCATATTTTGCCAAAAATATTAAATAAAATTGTACACATAAGATAGTCAATTTTTTCGGAACCATAATAATACTTATTCCGACCGAAGTGGTAGTATTCGATAGAGCCAAGGTAAAAAATAGATATTTCAGACACTCAGAAAATGGGGCTTACACTCCTTCCTTCTATTTTTATTATGATCATT